ATTCATCAAATCTCCTACTACTGAATACTTGAGTTGTTTCCAACTTTTTATTTCAATAAAGCTACAATAAACATCCTTGTACACGTGTTCTCCACACATACAGAGAACTTCTCTATGGTAAATACTTAAAGGTCAAATTGCTGGGTCCTAAGTTGTGTATATTTTCAATTTTTCTAAGTACTCTCAAATTTTTCATGAAAAGGTTGTACCAATTTACCCTCAAGCAGTGCTTGAGTTCCTATTTCTTCACATCCTTGCTAACATTTGGTATCATGAAACCTTTCAATTTTTGCAAATCTGATGACTAAGAATAATATCTCATTTTAATTTGAACTCCCTTTATTACTAACATAGCCTTTTCCTATATTTGGCCATTCAGATTTCTACTTAAAAAGCACCTGTTCATTATCTTGGCTCATTTTTTCTTGGATTGTTTATGTGCTTCATATTAATTTGTAGTTCATTATTATTTTGGAGACTACCCTTTTGTTTAAGAAGTAGATGGAGAGATAGAAAGATCATCATGTGATACACACACAGATATCTATACACACAAAAAGAGAATCAAAGAGCGTGTGCAAGTATTTTCTCTCTCTGGCTTGCTATGAAACTTTGTTTGTAGTGTCTTCTGTCATGTAGATATTCTAAATTTGTATTTGGTCAAATTGATCAATATTTTCCTGTATAGGCTGTAATTTTATGTTTTATATAAGAAGTTCTTCTCTGGAGCACCTGGGTGGCTCAGTCAGTTATGCATCTGACCTTGGCTCAAGTCATGATCTCAGGGTCCTGGGATCGAGCCTGGTGTCAGCCTCCCCGCTCAGGGAGTCTGTTTGCCTCTCTCCCTCTGCCCCTACCCCGGCTCATGCTTGCTCAGTCTCTCTCTCTCTCAAATAAATAAATAAAATCTTTTTTAAAAAATAAGAAATTCTTCTCTACCAAATATCATAACCCCCTAGCTCCTTAAAGCAAAACAATGCGGGCGCCTGGGTGGCTCAGTTGGTTAAGCAACTGCCTTTAGCTCAGGTCATGATCCTGGAGTCCCAGGATCGAGTTCCACATTGGGCTCCCAGCTCAGTGGGGAGTCTGCTTCTCCCTCTGACCCTCCCCCCTCTCATGCTCTCTCTCTCTATCTCATTCTCTCTCTCAAATAAAATCTTTAAAAAAAAAAAAAAACAACAATGCAGAGCGCCTGGGTGGCTCAGTTGGTTAAGCGACTGCCTTCGGCTCAGGTCATGATCCTGGAGTCCCGGGATCGAGTCCTGCATCGGGCTCCCTGCTCGGCGGGGAGTCTGCTTCTCCCCCTCCCGCTCCCCCGTCTTGTGCTCTTTCTCTCTCTCACTCTCTCTCTCAAATAAATAAATAAAATCTTTAAAAAAAAACAAAAAAAAACAATGCATAACACAGACCCACACTCAGTAAATGTAGGTTAGCTACTGTTACTTCTCTATCTTTACTACTCTAGTGAAACTGCTCTCTCAAAAGTCATCAGCAATTTCTCATTAACAAACCCTAGAGCCTCTACTGAGGCTATTTCCTACTCAGCCTCTTTTGAGCATTAGACATTTTGTCCTGAAACTCTCCCTGAAAATCTCTTTCCTTTGGTCTCTATGATAATATACCATTGTGGGTTTTTGTCCTATATATTGCCTATTCCTTCTTAATTTCATTCACTAATTCTTCCTTATCAGGATATCCTTAAAGATGGATGTTCTCTACCTATACTTTCCATCAATATGACCTTACCCTTTGGCCTCAAAGGCCACCTCTGAAAATAAATACAGATCAGTTCTAAACAGCCTACTTCATTCAGACTGTTCATTTCTAAATAGTCTACTTCAAACACTAAATGTACCCTCAAACCCATGCTTCCTTTAGTATATAGCACATTTGGTTACTAATACTACCTATCATCCAAGATAGTAGTTTCTAAGTCTTCTTTATCTCCTGTCTCTCATGTTACTAAATCCAGTCATTTGTTAAATGCTGTTGATACTATTTTAAAATATGTCAAATCCATCCCCTCCTTTCCATTTCCACTACCCTATATCAGAGTCATTGTATCTTGCCTATTAACTGACTTCCAATCATTCTTCTATCAGTTATTCTTCCAAAGCATGTATTTAATTATGGTTATTATGTGCTCCTTCTGGGCAAGATCAATGTCCTAACCAGTATATTCTCAATATATGATTACTGATTACACTGAAATTTGGCATTCTTGTTGCTCAAAAATCTCAGATAATAACAATCATTGCAATTAAGAAGCCAACTTGGGCACCCCACTCTATCTCTCTGAAAACTTAGAAAACCTTGCTTATGCCAAAAATTCTGTGACATGTAGGAGTCCAAAGCTAGCCCCTAAGATTTCTGCTAAGTCTCCATAGCTTAAGCTTTAATGGTCCTCCCTGTGTCCAGGCACTACAATATGAGTTGTCTTCTTCATTCCACATGTCAAATTTATCCCCTTTCCAAAAGAACTCCTCTTAGATCAAGCATTTCATAAGCTTACCTGACTTTACTTAAGATCAGGGGATGTCAACAAGGGAATGTCTCATTAAACACGCAGCCTCTTACCACCTTTCTAGCTCCTCTCCTTTCTCCCTCCAGATCCCCACACCTTTCTCCTTCCCTTTATCACCACTCCTAAACCAAAGCAAAATACAGTCAATCCTTGAACAATGTGGGTTAGGCGCTCCAACCCCAATCCTATAGTCCATGTGTAACTTTTGAGTACCCAAACACTTAAACTACTTATAGCTTATTGTTGACCAGAAGCCTTACCTGATAATGTAGTCAATTAACACATATTTTCTCCAATTTCCTATATCATGACTAATAATACTATTTAAGATGCTCATATGTACCAGGCACATCACTAAACCCTTATGAAACAGTTATCATTAATACTTAGGAAGAATAAATAATTTGCCTAAAGTAACAACTAATTAGTAAAGAGCCAAAATTCAAAGCACTTATGTCTGACCCCAAAGCCCATATTCTCCTCTACCTATAAACAAATGACATAACTTTTTAGTATTGCATTCAAGAAGCCCCTCCATAATTTGATTCTTTTCAGAATTCTCTCCCACCATACCTACACTGGACATCTCTGTTTCTGAAATATACTCTCTAATATCTTGTGCCATTCTATTTACCTAAATTGCATCCCTTCTTTGTCCATCACCTTGCTATTCATCCTTCAAGAATGCTGTGAGGATTTAATCAGTTAAACATGTAAATTAAATGCTGCCTAGCACATAATAAATAATAAATGTTAGCTGTTATTATTACAAGACATTTAAAAGGTTTTAGAAAATTGCTGATAAATGATATGCCAAAATAGGTCAACCAAAAATAAAAGCCTTGATAATGACATACTCTCACATACATTCTCTCCTCTCTCTTACACACATACATACACATTCACACTCATACTCACACTCATACACACAAAATCAAGCAAAGACATATAGTAGAAAAAACACCAGTCGCAAAGTGAGACGTAGTCTTGGTTTAAATTTCAGCTCTGCCTGTGTGACTTTGGACAAATTACTTAACTTCTCTAATCTCCTGTTTCCATACTCATAAGGTAAGGATATTTAAATCAACTTTGTAGGCTTGTTGTAAGAATTAAAGACATTTCACAAAGAGCTTAGCATGATGCCTGACACATAGAAGGCACTCATTAAGTGATATAAGTTATTAAAAGAAAATACATAATAATTATTAAAAGAAAACATATGATAATTATTAAGAGGATGAGTAAATGTGGAAACTTAAAAACATCAAATAAAGTCAATTAATTTCAGAAATTGGAACATCCTTAAGAATTGGAAAATCTAATGGATCGTGGATAACCACATCAAAAACCAATGATGTATTGTGTGGTGACTAACATAACATAATAAAATTTAAAAAAAAAAAAAGAATTGGAAACTCTACCATTATTAGGTTAACTAAGGTGATGCTTTTAATTATTAGCATATACTTCAAAGTTATCAGAGAACTTGATAGACAATATTAAGATATCAATTCAAATAATATTTACTTAGCATTCATACTATTATAAGTCCAAAACTAGGAGGGATATAACAAAAGAGGTCATGATTCTCATCCTCAAGGAGTTTACTAGAAACCCAAACCATATGGCAATATATTTTGTGTTACATAAAATACAGGTTCTTAAAAGAAATACGCCAAAACACAGGCATAAAAAGTAGTATGGCGATGGGCGCCTGGGTGGCTCAGTTGGTTAAGCAACTGCCTTCGGCTCAGGTCATGATCCTGGAGTCCCGGGATCAAGTCCCGCATCAGGCTCTCTGCTCGGCAGGGAGTATGCTTCTCCCTCTGACCCTCCTCCCTCTCATGCTCTCTGTCTCTCATTCTCTCTCTCTCAAATAAATAAATAAATAAAATCTTTAAAAAAAAAAAAAAGTAGTATGGTGGTTGCCAGGGGCTGAGGGAAAGAGAAGGTTGGGGAGTTATTGTTTAATGGGTAGAGCTTCAGTTTGACAAGATGAAAAGTTCTGGAGCTAAATGGTGGTAATGTTATTAGCAGAACATTACGAATGTATTTAATACCACCAAACTGTACATTTAAAAATTATTAAGATGGCAGGCGCCTGGGTGGCTCAGTTAGTTAAGCGACTGCCTTCAGCTCAGGTCATGATCCTGGAGTCACAGGATCGAGTCCCGCATCGGGCTCCCTGCTCGGCGAGGAGCCTGCTTCTCCCTCTAACCCTCCCCCCTCTCATGTACTCTCTCTCTCTCATTCTCGCTCTCTCAAATAAATAAATAAATCTAAAAAAAAAAAAAAAGAAAAGAAAATTATTAAGATGGCAAATTTTATGTTATGTGTATTTTACAATAAAAAAGTGTAAGTAAAAAACAAAAAGAAATATGCCAAAAGTAGATTAATCTGGAAATAAACCAATGAAAACAGTTACACAATGAATTTCTACAAAGATTTTTAAATGGGTTACAAATTTAGCACTTACCTTCATATTTAAAATGGTAACATTTTCCAAGCAATAATACAGGGGAATTTCTACTAAAATATGTTTTTGTTTTCAACACCCAACCTAAAGGAGAAAAGAGAAAAGTAGTTTTGCAATTAAAGGATTTCAGACTAAGAGTCTAGCAGCATTCCTTTTTCTTAATTTCAAATCACTAATTCTCAACTATAGACATGCATTTTTTTGCAAGAATAGCAAAATATATGGACAATGAGCTGAAAATACAGGCCATTTATGTGACATTCATTCACACACAGTTAAGTATTTTAAACACATTCTATCCACATAAAGGACATGAGAAAAGAATTTAATTTTAATTTATTTTCCAACACAATGTTCTGATGGTATAAAACTTAAAAGGTACAAATTCTATTCTAGTTTCTCTGACACCAATCTCTTTTCCCAAATGCAACAAATGTTACCAATTTCTTATATTTCCTTCCATCTTAGATAATTAAATATTTAAAGTAATTGAGTATTCCAATGAAGTAATTTAGGGACAAGGTAACACAATACACTAGTGCTTTTGATAAATGTGGATTGAAGTTTCCTAGGGAAATGTTAGACCCCCATCATGTCAGCCACCTGAGGATCTCTGAAAGTAGTGAATAAAGCTTTCAGAGATCCTCATCTCAGTTTTCCACCTCCCAATTCCCAATCCCCAACTGTAGTTGCAAACTCTAATTCTTCCAATTTTCTTCCTACTAAACTGTATGTGTCTAAAAGGTAGTATCCTCGGGGCACCTGGGTGGCTCAGTCGTTAAGCGTCTGCCTTCAGCTCAGGTCACGATCCCAGGGTCCTGGGATCGAGCCCTGCATCGGGCTCCCTGCTCGGCGGGAAGCCTGCTTCTCCCTCTCCCACTCCCCCTGCTTGTGTTCCCTCTCTCGCTGTGTCTCTCTCTGTCAAATAAATAAAAATAAAATATTTTAAAAAAATAAAAAATAAAAGGTAGTATCCTCTTGGTTTTTTTTCCCACGACCCTGAGAGCATGACCTGAGCCAAAACCAAGAGTTGATTGCTCAACCAACTGTGCCACCCAGGTGCCCCTCCTCTTGGTTTTTTATGGTACCATTAATAGTTCTCGATTTCCTGAGAAAAACACTTGTCCATTACATTCCTGAATATTCCCAAGTATATGAAATTCCTGACTGCTAATGGTAGCCTTAAAAGCCACTTCTAAAATGCAAAAGCATATAAACAGAAAGAATCTGAAATTGGGAGTCAACAGATTTAGGTCTACTCTTTTATTTTTCTTTCCTTTTTTGGGCAGCAAAGCAAAGTTTATTGAGTGATAGTAAAGTTTACTGAATCACAGAGTACAAAGCTACCAAAGAGGGAGGGGACCCAAGAGGGTTGCCATTTATATTGAAGAGTTGTTAGAAAATTTAAAATCAGTGATTCTTATGAAAGTGCCCCCCAAAGTGCTATAATACAAATAAATATAAAAAACAAATAAACAAAAATGTGTGTTCATAATAAAGATGATACAAGTATTTGAATTTGCTGGAAAAAAGAATGGAAAATCACACACGAATCAGGCTTTCATGCAGCTTGGATTACTGCAATACTCTGCCATCAGCCTTTCTTCACTCTAGCATATGCCACATGTCACTGCCAAATTAATCTCCTCGTGGCTCAGCTTTGATTGGGTAACTCTTCTGCCCAAAAACCATCCTCAGTGACTCATTACTTAACAGATTTATTATGAACTTCTCAGTGATACTAAAGACTTTCCAAAATATGATACAAATTACCTTTACAGTCATCTTTTCCACTACTTTTCACCTATACTCAAAGTGGGGCTTGCGATCTGGGTCATACTATCAAAATGTCCTCCTCAATATCAGCCTATCTAAATCCTACTTCTTCTTCTGGCTCATGTATGCGTTTCTAAGCCATTTGTTCCTTCTCTCACTGGACTCTCTGATGCTCTTCTCTAAACTCCAATGGGAAGTTAGTATTCACTGGCCACCTACTGTATACCAGGAACTAGGCTAGGCACTTTACAAACATTATGTCTTAGAAATATTATTAGTACTGCACCGGAATGATTCTAATCCCCAAAATAGTAATAACTCCTTCCCGTACAACATCATTTCTAAGGCAAATTTGAAGAACTTCATAAAAACAACCTCAAATAAAAGGAAACAATCTTTAAGGGGGAACTTCTCTCTTTCTCTCTATGCTTTATTACCCTCTGCCTACCCCCTCCTACCAGTCACCAGTCCTTCCTCAAAAAAAAGGGAAGTTGCAAATCTGATTTCTTAGAGCCTGGGCACTGCAAGGATCCACATTTTACATGAGCACAGATTATAGTGCTTTAAAGCTCAACCGTCGTTCATATGGTGCATACTCTCACTTTTGTACTTCCTGTGCAAATTCTGGCAGGACCTAACCCTCATGAAAGATTGACTTCCTTTAATACTCCTTGATGCTAGGTACATAAAGAAGACTCAGGACTTCTGATAAGGTCCAGCCATTTTTCTCTTTTTCCACAGGCATGTCAGAGCTGAATTAGACCAGTATGCCAAGCAACTAGTCTGTATTCTTTTTTTTCTTTAAATTATTTAGTTTTAGTTGACCAATTTTCATTTTATCTTTTTAAAAGCATTGTAAGAAATATACCACTATCTCTGCCCTAGCTTGTTGATGCTGAAGCAGGATGTTCTGGCACACAGAGATTGAAAAATGAAGGATGTAAAATCCATAAAGGTATAGGATAACAGAGCCTGGGGCATAGGAAAGAGCCATGAATAAGAAGTATGATTATGAATAAGTGCTTCTGACACATATTGAGAAATATATATTCATCAGAATTCTTAATACTCAAGAATATATTTTTATTTTATTCCTCAATCTCCCCCACTTTTTACCTCTAAATCTCAATTTATAGCAGCAGGGAGGTGGGACAGAGACAAATTAAATGTCATCATGACTTCTAAATAAAAACTAATTAAATAAAACTAAATAAATTAAGAAAGTAAATTTGGCAAAAAAGCCATTAAATAAATTGACCCAGGGCAGTGACTGTCTATGAGGGGTGAGCACTGACCAGAAGGAAGAATGAAGAAACCTTCTGGGGTGAAGGAAATTTTCTATATATTTATTAGATTGTTAGTTTCATAGTTATACTCTGCAAATTGTATACTTATGATCTGTTCATCTCACTTTATGTTACTTTTCTCTCAATTACAAAAAAAAATTAAGAGAGAAACCAGAACACTGTTCCAGTTATTTGTTCCTGTTTAACAAACCACTCTGAAACTTAATAATTTGAAACAACTTTTTTTCTTATATCACACAGTTTTGTGGGTTGACTGGGCTCAATTGAGCAGGTCTCCTGCTGGTCTTGCTTGGAGTCTCTCATGTCGTAAAAATTAGATGGAGAGGCTCAACTGAGACACTGCGTTGGCTGATGCTTTATCTCTAACGTAGTCTCAGGGCCTTTCTTCTTTGTGTGGACTCTCCCTGTGATTTCTCCAGCTGAGTACCTAAGCTGGTTACATAACAGTTCAGAGATCCAAAACAGAGCAAGCAGGCCTAGAATTGACACAGCCTCATTTGTATCTCATTCTATTGGTTAATATAAGGCATAGGCCAGCCCAGATTCAATGAGAAAAGAAACAACACAAGATGTGATTAAAGATCCTTACTAAGGAGCATCTTTGGAGACTAGCTACCATAAACAAAATATTATAAAAAACCTATAGTCCATTAAGTCAGCAACTCGAAAATCACAAGGCTTTAAAAGATGTAAACAAGCCAAAGAACACAGAAATAACAGACGATAATGATTTTCTGGAGGATCAGAAATATACAGAAGGATGGTTTACTTACTATTTTAAAAAGGAAGTCAAGTTTACATGCCTCATAAAGTCATGAGGAGGGGAGAAGAAAGCAAAAATGAAATAGTTTTATAAGAAAGTAAGGTCCACAGTCTTTTAAATCTTAAGTGCTAAGCCATTTCGAGTTCCTTCATCATTTCATAATATTGACATTGATAAAAGTAATCCTAAATTATGTTCACTGTTTCCAGAAAACAGCCAGACTGAGGAGCAAGACAGGCTGGGTTTGAATACCAGTTTGTTTGGTTTTTTTTAGAGATTTTATTTATTTATTTGAGACAGAGAGAATGAGAGACAGAGAGTATGAGAGGGAGGAGGGTCAGAGAGAGAAGCAGGCTCCCCGCAGAGCAGGGAGCCCGATGCAGGACCCGATCCCGGGACTCCAGGATCATGACCTGAGCCGAAGGCAGTCGCTTAACCAACTGAGCCACCCAGGCCCCCTGAATACCAGTTTTAAGAGTTATTACCTAGATATGTGACTATGAATATGTCGCTGAATCTCAGTTTTCTAATTAAAAAAAAAAAAAAAACACCTCAGAAAGATATCTGTCTCAGAAAGATATGAGATTTGGTGCACCTGGGCAGCTCAGATGGTTAAGCGACTGCCTTCAGCTCGGGTCATGGTCCCGGAGTCCAGGGATCGAGTCCCACATCGGGCTCCTGGCTTAGCAGGGAGCCTGCTTCTCCCTCTGACCCTCTCCCCTCTCATGCTGTTTCTCACTCTCTCTCTCTCAAATAAATAAATAAAATCTTAAAAAAAAAAAAAAGAAAGAAAGAAAAGATATGAGATTTAAATAAGAAGATACATAAATGATCTACAAAATGTTAATGCACTATGGGTGTTCAATCAATGTTAGTCCTTCCTACACCACCCATACTACACAAACCCTAAGCAAGGAAAGTACATAAAACATTTTAGAATGATTTTCACCAATAAAATCAAACAAAAAATAACTATTTTGTAACTTGAAGCTATCTAGAACACTTAGTTACCCTGGACAATCTGTTCTTTAGAGATTAGAGATTACCATAATTTTACTATAGACACTTAAATATCTAGATAAGGAAAACAACACATATGTAAATAATAGGTTAAGTAACAATTCCTAGGATACTACTAAAATGTGTTATCTAGTACCTATATGACAATTTTCAACTTACAAATGAAATCTTCATCACATAACCTATTCACCAGATTAAAAAGAGCATAAGCTTAAAAAGAGCATAAGCTTAAAAAGAGCATAAGCCTCTATTTGCAGATGAACATGATCTTACAGACAGAAAACCCTAAGGAATCCACAAAAAACTGTTAGAGCTAATAAAATAGAACACCAAGCTTACAAGACACAGGATCAAATTACAAAAAACAACTGAATTTCTATATACCAGCAACAAACAAACAAAAATAAAATTAAGAAAACAATTCATTTTAAAATAGCTTAAAAAAGAATACTTAGGAATAACTTTAACAAAAAAGTACACCACAAAACCACAAAACATCATTGGAAAAAATTATAAGCCTAAATATAAGGAAAGACATCCCATGTCCATGGATTGGAAGACTTAATATGGCAATACTCTGCTAAGATGGCAATACTCTGCAAGTGGATCTTCAGATTCTATATCAAACCTATATCAAAATCCCAGCTGGATTTCTTATAGAAATTGATAAGATGATCAAAAATCTTGGAAGCCAAAGCAATCTTGGAAAAGAAGAACAAAGTTGGAGGAATCACACTTCCCAATTTTAAATTTTACAGAAAGCTAAAGTAATCAAGAGAGTGTGGTACTGGCACATGGACAGATGTGTAGATAAATGGAACTGAATTGCAAGTCCAGAAATAAATCTCTACATCTATGGTCAACTGATTTTAGACAAGGGTGTCAAGACCATTCAAAGGAGAAAGAATATTCTTTTCAAAAAATTGTACTGGGACAACTAAATACCACATACAAAAATGAAGTTGGACTTCTACGTCACATCACATGCAAAAATTAACTCAAAATGGATCAAAGACCTAAATATAAGAGCTAAAATAATAAAATTCTTAAAAAGAAACATAGGTACAAATCTTCATGATCTTGATATAGACAACAGTTTCTTAAATATGATATCAAAAGCACAAACAACCAAAGAAAAAAATAAATAAATTGGATTTCATCAAAAAGTGAAAGTTTTGTGCTTCAATGGACACTATCAAGAAAGTGAAAAGACAATCCCCAAATGGGAGAAAATATTTGCAAATCATACATTTGCTAAGGGATTTGTATCTAGAATATATGAAGAACTCTTACAACTCAATAATAAAAGGCAATCCAATTAAAAAAGGCACAAAGGATTTACTTTTTTTTTGTAACTGTCAGCAGTAACAAACCTGGTAACTTTTTTTTTTTTTAATTAACATATAATGTATTTGTTTCAAGGGTACAGGTCTGTGATTCATTAGTCTTACACAATTCACAGTGCTCACCATAGCACATACCCTCCCCAATGTCCATCACCCAGCCACCCCATCCCTCCCACCCCCTTCCACTCCAGCAACCCTGTTTGCTTCCTGAGATTAAGAGTCTCTCATTGTTTGTCTCCCTCTCTGGTTTCATCTTGTTTCATTTTTCCCTCCCTTCCCCTATGATCCTCTGTCTTGTTTTTCAAATTCCTCATATCAATGAGATCATATGTAATCGTCTTTCTCTGGTTGACTTATTTCACGTAGCATAATACCCTCCAGTTCCATCCACGTCATTGCAAATGGCAAGATTTCATTTTTTGATGGCTGCATAATATTCCTGTGTGTGTGTGTGTGTGTGTGTGTATCACATCTTCTTTATCCATTCATCTTTTGATGGACATCTAGGCTCTTTCCATAGTTTGGCTATTGTAGACATTGCTGCTATAAACATTGGGGTGCAGGTGCCCCTTTGGATCACTACATTTGTATCTTTGGGGTAAATACCCAGTAGTACAATTGCTGGGTCATAGGGTAGCTCTATTTTTAACTAGGCATAAAGGATTTAAATAGACATTTCTCCAAAGAATATATAAAAATAGCCAATAAGTATATGGAAAGATGCTTAACATCATTATTCATCAAGGAAATGCAAATCAAACTCAGCGAGATACTTCACACCCACTGGAATGGCTCGAATAAAAAAGATGGACAGGGCACCTGGGTGGCTCAGTCAGTTGAGCATCCTATTCTTGGTTTCGGCTGGGGACATGTGAAATCAAGCCCCATGTCAGGCTCCGTGCTCAGCACAGAGTCTGCTGGAGATTCTCTCTCCCTCACCCTCTGCCTCTCCCACTCATGCTCTCTCTCTCTAAAATAAATAAATCTTTAAAAAAATTTTTTTTAAAACATGGACAACATAGGGCACCTGGCTGGCTCAGTCAGAAAAGCATGCAACTCTTGATCTCTGGGTTGTGAGTTCAAGCCCCACATTGGATTTAGAGATTACTTAAATAAATAAAAAACTTAACAAAAAAAAAAAAGGATGGACAATAAAAAGTGTCGGTGAGGATATAGAGAAATTCAGACCTTCAAACATTGCTGATGGGAATGTAAAATGGTGCAGCCACCTTGAGAAACAGCTTGGTAGTTCCTCAGAAAGTTAAACTTAAGAGTTAACATATGGGGCGCCTGGGTGGTTCAGTCGTTAAGCGTCTGCCTTCGGCTCAGGTCATGATCCCAGGGTCCTGGGATCGAGCCCCGCATCGGGCTCCCTGCTCTGTGGGAAGCCTGCTTCTCCCTCTCCCACTCCCCCTGCTTGTGTTCCCTCTCTCGCTATGTCTCTCTCTGTCAAATAAATAAATAAAATCTTTAAAAAAAAAAAAAAGAGTTAACATATGATCCAGCAATTCTACTAATAGGTATATACCCAAGAGAACCGAAAAGATATAGTCACACAAAAACTGGTACATAATGTTCATAGCAGCACTATTTGTATTAGCCAAAAAGTCAAAAACAACCCAAATGTCCATCAACTAATAAATGAGTAAAGAAAATGCGGTATGGCCATACAATAAAATATTATTCAGTCACATAAAGGAATGAAGTGGTGATAAATACATGCTATAATATGGATGAATTTCAAAAACATTATGCTAAATGAAAGGAGTCAGACACAAAAGGCCACAAGTTGTACAATTCCATTTATATGAAATGTCTACAATAGTCAAACCCATAGAAACAGAAAACAGACTGGTGGTTGCCAGGGGCTGGAGAGATGTGGGGAGGAATGGGGAGTAGCTGCTAATGGGTCCGGGCTTGCTTTTACGGGTGATAAAATTGTTCTGGAATTAGATAGTGATGAAGGTGTACAATCTTATAAATATACTAAAAACCCCTGAATCATAAAAGGGTAAATTTTTTAGTATGTAAATTATATCTCAATTTTTCAAAAAATCAATGTCCATAGTTTTCAAAATGAAATATTTCATTGTTATCAAGTTATAACTATCTAAATAGCTAGCTGGCCATGCCTTCCAGTGAACCAGGAGCCAACTGTCAATTGTGTTTTACCCAAATTTGCATTATGAAGGGGTTTTGCTAAATGTTATCATTCCTATTTTATGGATATGAACCTCTTCCTGTTTCAACTGGTTCTGCTAAGTATTTCTCCATTTTTGAAAGTTTCTTCATCTCTAATTTGTTTCTAGTCCAAGGTGGGTTTCAAAACCACCATATGATCCTTATTGGATTTGTTTGCAAACCAAGAATAAGTAAGTTAAAAATAAAGGTCAAAGGGTACTCCTAAGAGAAATTCATAGGTATCAGTATGGAAACATTATACTGTCTGCTTTGTGTGTTCAAAGGTCTATTTTGCTTGCTTCCTGGTTGCCTGAAACTGAGTCTGAAAAACTGAGGTATTATCCTCACTTAAATAAATTCTGCTTCTGAATGTTCAAAGAAAAAAGGACCACATAGTATGCCTGAATTTCTAGACAATGTTTATGATGATATGTGGTTCTTTCTTAAGGATACAGGCTTATCCACATTCCTTACAGAAATATTTCATTCAAAGAGAAACTTAAGCAATTGTGAGTGACTTAATAAGGCAGATGATATTTGTCTTCAAATATTTCTTTAGATGTATACAATTTTTAAATGATACTTACTATATTTCATGTTGTTCCAAGCAGATACAAATTTAGTTTTTAGCTTGTCAACTTCATCTGTTCCTGTGGCCTCCATATTCAAATTCTAAAGAAAAAGCCATAACTTGATTGCATTCTTCTGTAAAGTTAAATCTTTAGTACTAAAAGAAAAAAATTTAAAGAAAAATAAGTAATGAGTATATATTATATGGTACAATACTGCTAAAGTTTTACTTATGATTAAATACAATTTGCAAATGAGCAAACCAATTTCTCATTTTACATAACAGAATATAATATATTCTATAAATACTTTAATTACAAAAAACATTAAATACCAAATATACAATAAAAATTATCACACAAAACCAAACAATAATCTCCTCCAAGTACTCACAATTAAGAACAATAAATTAGGGCATCTGAGTGGCTCAACTGGTTGAGTGACTGCCTTCTGCTCAGGTCATGATCCTGGAGTCCCAGGATCGAGTCCTGCATCGGGCTTCCTGCTCATCAGGGAGTCTGCTTCTCCCTCTAACCCTCCCCCATCTCATGCTCTCTCTCTCTCTCATTCTCTCTCTCTCAAATAAATAAAATCTTTAAAAAAAAACAATAAATTAACTTAGTGAAACAACTCCACTTCAGTGCTTGTGAGACTATTCAAGATTTGCTTTATTTGTAATGAGAGAAGGTGGTTTTAAATCTTATAAGAAATGACAACTATCTGGCGCCTAGGTGGCTCGGTTGGTTGAGCGTCTGTCTTCAGCTCAGGTTGTAGTCCCCGGGTCCTGGGATCGAGTCTGCTTCTCCCTCTCCTTCTACCCCACCCCCTGCTTGTGCACTCTCTCTCTCATAAAAATAAATAAATAAAATATTTAAAAAAAAAAAAAAAGAAAAAGAAATGACAACTATCTTTAGAATGGAGGATTCCACTTAAACTGATTAAGTCACTACTTTCATATAAAACCTAATTGTTGGGATGCCTGGGTGGCTCAGTCTGTTAAAGCGACTGCCTTCGGCTCAGGTCATGATCCCAGGGTCCTGGGATCGAGCCCCACATCGGGCTCCCTGCTCTGTAGGAAGCCTGCTTCTCCCTCTCCCACTTCCCCTGCTTGTGTTATCTTTAAAAAAAAAAAAAAAAATAGAATGGCTTAGGGGCACGTGGGTAGCTCAGTCAGTTAGGCGTGGGACTCTTGATTTCAGCTCAGGCCATGATCTCCGGGTCCTGAGAGCGAGCCCCACATGGGACTTTGCACTCAGTGGAGAGTCTGCTGGAGATTCTCTCTCTTTCTCTCTCCCACTACCCCTCCCTTTCCCACTCCCCCGCCCCGCTCACACATGCAGTCTCTCTCTCTCAAATAAATAAATCTTATTAAAAAAATAGAATGGCTTAAATCTACAACAGAAGATGTTTTCTTACTTTAAAATAAAAATAAATGTAGCTTACAGATATTTGTTTTATAACTGACTTGAGGGAAAATTGAGATGTGCAATATAATCTGAAAAAGGAACAAACTATACCTTAAAATGCTTGTGCTTATTTGCAATAATTCAGATAGTTTACTTATCAAGAAAAGAATGCTGCACAGAAAAAAAAGAATGCTGCACAGAACACTGCTCTTTTAGGGTTATAAATATCTACTCAAAAGTACTGATACATTTATTTCTCTAACAATAGACATTCCATTTTATAATATGTACTAAAAACTACTAATGATACAGTACAGTTGAGGCAGGAGAAAGCATGGTCCATTGGAAAAATCTTAAAAGTCAGTATGACTAGAGCACAAAAAAATCCAAAAAGGGGGCTTGAGATGTGGCTATAGGTTTGACATGGGCCAGAGCACACACGGCCTTGTACACCATGCTAAGAATCTTGTTGTTTGTCCTAAGAACAATTGGTTTCAAACAGGAATATTAGAATCTGATTCTGTGGGTCTGACTCCCAGAGCAGCACAAAGAATAGATTGCAAAGGAGAAGAGTACATGATTATAGAGTTTACCAGTACTTTACAGGACTAGAAGAGAGATGATAATACCTTGGAATGGAGCAACAGAGAGGGAGATAAATAGACATTATAAGGAAATGTGTCAAAAATTCAATGTCTTGGTGATTAAATGAATATAGAAGGCAAGAAAGATAGATATGCCAAAGATACACCCATGTTCCTGGCTTGTGAAACTAAATAAAAGGTGCCAACCATTGAAATAGGGAGCATCAGAAGAGATTCAGGTTAGAGAAGGAAGATCATGAATTTAATTTATATATAGTTTGAGATGTCTCTGAGAGATATATTAAAGAATCATCCATTTATTTAATTATTCAATAAGTTATTGCCAGGCACTGTTCAAGGCAATGCAGATACAGCTTAGGACAAAAGCAGTGAAATACTTCCTCTCATGGAGCTTAGAATCTAGATATATTCTAGAGAGGCCAACTAGGCAGTTGGATATATAGATCTGGAGCTTAAAGGTGAGGTCTGAGCGGGAGCTATTAATTTGAGAACTGCTGATGTATAAATGAGAATTAGAGCTACAAACATGTTCTTCAAGGACTTTGCCTTATGTTTACACCTTCAGCCTTGAGAATATTCAAGGCCCTTCAAGAAATTACATCTGGGGGGCGCCTGGGTGGCTCAGTTGGTTAAGCGACTGCCTTCGGCTCAGGTCATGATCCTGGAGTCCTGGGATCGAGTCCCGCATCGGGCTCCCTGCTCGGCAGGGAGTCTGCTTCTCCCTCTGACCCTCCTCCCTCTCATGCTCTCTGTCTCTCATTCTCTCTCTCTCAAATAAATAAATAAAATCTTTAAAAAAAAAAAAAAGAAATTACATCTGGGGCGCCTGGGTGGCTCAGATGGTTAAGCGTCTGCCTTCGGCTCAGGTCATGATCCCAGGGTCCTGGGATCAAGTCCCGCATCGGGCTCCCTGCTAGGCGGGGAGCCTGCTTCTCCCTCTGCTTCTGCCTCTGCCTCTGCCTCTGCCTCTCTCTGACTCTCATGAATAAATAAATAAAACATTAAAAAAAAAAAAAAAGAAATTACATCTGCCCTTTTACTTAGCTTCCTCTCTTGCCACTCCCTTACTGCACCATTCACCGAAGCCATTTTTAATATTAATATTAAAGCTTCCTAAACTGGACATGCTTCCATGTCTTTGCATGTGCCATTCCCTCAACCTAAAAGGCCTTCCTGCTCACCCTCACTTTTTGACTACCTTATTATCATGAGTCTCTAAGACCCAGCTTGTTTCACCTCCTCTGGTCAGACTTGTAAGATTCTACCCACCTCCATACCTCAAACTAAAAGAGATGTCCCGCTCTTAACTCCCATAGGATCCTATGTCCTCCTCTATCATGGCATTCATCATACTGTACTGTAATTACTTCTTACCTCTTAAACTAGATGGTCAACTTTTTGAGTGTCCTTGAGTTCTGCCTGGCATGTGATTAGTTCTCAAATTATGTTTATTAAATGAATCAGTGAATAGATAAATAAAGTATATCACTAGTAGCACTTTTACAAGCTGTAAAAGTCTATCAATTGGAAATTTTGTCACTGACAACTAGAAATTTTCCTCCAGAAAATTGCATAATTTAACAAAATTTGGAGAAGTACGGAGAAAGGTTTATAAAATGTACATCCACATGATTGATTACATATCCATTAAAAATGTCTCCAAAGGGGTGCCTGGGTGGCTCAGTTGGTTAAGTGTCTGACTCTTGATTTCAGCTCAGGTCATGATCTTGGAGTCATCAGATCGAGCCCCACATCAGGCTCCACACTCAGCAAGAGTCTGCTTGAGATTCTCTCTCTCCCTCTTCTTCTGCTCCTCCCCCTGCTGTGTGCACTCACTCTCTCTTGCTCTCTCTAATAAATAAATGGGTTATTTTAAAGATTTGATTTATTTATTTGTCAGACAGAGACAGAGCACAAGTAGGGGGAATGGCAGACAGAGGGAGAAGCAGCCTCCCTGCTGAGCAAGCAGCCCAATGCGGGACTCAATTCCAGGACCCTGGGATCATGATCTGAGCCAAAGGCAGTTGCTTAACCGACTGAGCCACCCAGGCATCCCAAGAAATAAATGTTTTTTAAAAAATGTCTCCAGGGGCACCTGGGTGGCTCAGTCAGTTAAGCATCTGCCTTTGGCTCAGATCATGATCTCCAAGTCCTGGGATCGAGCCCTGCATCAGGCTCCCTGCTCAGAGGGGAGTCTGCTTCTTTCTCTCCCTCTGCCCCTTCCCCCTGCTTGTGCTCACTCTTTCTCTCTCTCAAATAAATAAAATCTTTTTAAAACATAATTAATTACAAATAAATAAAGTCTCCAGGAAGTTTGTGATAATGGGGAAACACTGCAAAATCTAAAATTCTATGCATCATATGATACTAGCTGGAGAAGTGGCAGGGGAAGAGTTAGAAAGAAATCAAAAATTGACAAGTTTCTCTGGATACAAAATTGTGTGTGGTTATTTTTATACCACTATTGCCCACCTTTTCCAAATCTTATACAAAGAACAGATGTAATTTTTAGAATTTAAAATTTTTGTTGGGGCAGCTGGGTGGCTCAGTTGGTTAAGCGACTGCTTCGGCTCAGGTCTTGATCCTGGAGTCCCGGGACTGAGTCCTGCATTGGGCTCCCTGCTCAACAGGGAGTCTGCTTCTCCCTCTGACCCTCCTCCCTCTCATGCTCTCTGTCTCTTTCTCTCTCTCTCAAATAAATAAATAAAATCTTAAATAAATAAATACATAAAATTTTTATTGTTAAAAAGCCACCAACTGGGCACCTGGGTGGCTCAGTTGGTTAAGCGACTGCCTTCGGCTCAGGTCATGATCCTGGAGTTCCGGGATCGAGTTCCACATCGGGCTCCCTGCTCAGCAGGGAGTCTGCTTCTCCCTCTCCCGCTACCCCCTCTTGTGCTCTTTCTCTCTCTCTCACTCTCTCTCTCAAATAAATAAATAAAATCTTTAAAAAAAAAAAAAAAGCCACCAACCAGGGTGCCTGGGTGGCTCAGTTGGTTGAGCATCTGACTCCTGGTTTTGGCTCAGGTCATGATCTCAAGGTCATGGGAATGAGTCCCACATAAGGCTCTGCACTCAGATGGGAGTCTGCTTGAGATGCTCTCTCTCCCTCTCCCTTTGCCCCTCCTCTTGCTTTCTCTCTCTCT